GTTTTTCCTTTCTACAGTGCACATAATCACATTTTTCCACAATTATTCGTTTAGTCACATTTTGTTTTTCAAAAAAAATTTTGGTACAATAATAAACGGGTAAACTCTATAATTATTTATTCATTATACACAAAAATAAGCAGTTCAATTTTTTTTGTGTGTGTGGGTCATTAACAGTTTTACACATTATTATCAATGTTAGCTAAACAAGACATTAAATGACAGTATTTTCATTTTTTCGTGTGTTTTTTATTCTGTGACATCACTGTTTTTTTTCACACGATAGCACACGGTATCTCACCAATATACATATCATACTCATCTTCACATCTTTGTTGGTTATAACTGTATATTATTTTTGTATACACATATATCATATTCCTACTTTTTTGTTATTGTGGAGATATGACTGACAAGCTTATTTTGTAAATAGTTTTTAATATTATTTGTATTTGTTTTATCAGTTTTTCACTGTATGTACATTTATCATTAAATGACTGTACGTGTTGTTTTAGTCAATGACCTTGAAGACTCTTTCCGTTGTGATTCAAACATAGTGTGACATATTCTTTCTGGCTAACAAATACATTACTACTCACACATCCCTCGTTCTATTTTCGTTTGTGATTGAGTTAGCTGAAGTCTAAATCAAAATTGTCATTATTTATAGACTGTAATTGGAATATATCACATTCTACGTGGGATTATATCACTAGAGAGTTCGCCAACCTGCTCAGAATCATCAAACATTTATAATTGTGGATTTACATTACCGGACGTAATCAGAACACGCAACGTTTGGTCAATTTAAGTAACGTCCCTAATTTTTTATTGTATTTGTAACATTTAACTTGTATTATAATATTCCTATTGATTGTTATTAACTTTGTTGATACCTCTTGCGTTTAATATTGTCTGCTCCACCACAATAATGTTAACAGAATGGATAGAACATCAGGTAAGTGATTCTGCAGTCAATAGAAAGTGTATCATGATATGAATTTGTTTATTTGTCTTATTTTGCAGGTGTGTACCAACTGTAATCCTTAAAATACTATCCAAACGCCATTACACACTAAATAACATACCGGATCAAGAAGAAGTTAGTTCAATTTTCTCTTAAATTCTATTCATTTTATAAATTTAGTCACTAAGTATATGACGTTGGATGTTTTGAAGTGAAGGTTGTTTTTCTGTATAACACTTAATCAATAGTTATCACTGTTATATATTACCAAGATGAACACATAAACTGGCATATCCTTGAATTAGTTTAAGCAAGTACATTACTATGGCGTACACTGCAAAAAATGGTAAAAGCCAGTTAACATCGATAAACCTTCAAAAATCTGTTTCGTTGAGAAATTGAAAACATTGACGTTGTTTCAGTGGTGCCAATAAACCCTTAACAATTGGCTTAAGTACTAATCACTAGACATTAAGACTTTAGCGCACTTTGGAGACAATCACAAAGTTGTATCTTAACAAAAGTTATTTCTAGATTGATGACATTTTTCGATTTCTATATAGACGGAATATATTGGTGTTTTGGATGTCTTTACACAAGAATAAATTATATTTATGACGTGGAGGTTTTGCAGCTTAGTTGGATGAGCTGAGTGATGTGATTTCGTTAAGGTTGATAATTTAGTAGTGTTTTGATTATCATTATCGACACTGTCAGCCAAATAAGTTTTATTCGATGCGATAAGATGTTACAAATCCAGGGAAGAAGTTTTGTAACTACATTTTCTGACGGTTTATTAGTTGGTGCATTTATCATTTCAAAGATTCCACTCAAGATATATGCTTCATATCTTGGACCAACAGCAATCCGATTCACAGATTGAGGTGTTTTCACCCCACTCGCTCGACCTGATTACTACCATACTAGTCAACCTAATATATTTGGTGGTTATTAAGTTTTTGTTTTTCGAATTATTGAATACAAATGGTTGACTTTTAATTCACTAGGTACTTGCTATGCGAAATTCTGGACAAAAACTACTTGAAAATCATGTTCTGAAACGTGGATTAAATGATTTGTTTAAAAGGTCAAAGGAAAACATGAAATGGACAAAAACTCATCGTGATGTTATCAGTAATTGGTTAAATAAAAATGTTCCCAATACAATCACATTACTTTGAATGCATTTCTTCCAGACTAATCAATAATTTCACTATTAGACAGTTTTATTCTGTTGAATTAATTGATTACTGGTTTGCCAATTGACAGATCTATCAATCGATCTATCAATCAATTCATCTGTACTTGTGTCTCTGTAACAAAATACTCATTTTTCTTGTTCCTCTCTTATTCAATGTTGCGTATTCATATTTCGGTTTTCATGTGGTCTTATCATTAATATTATTATTATTTTGAATGTTCTAATATCCATTCTTCACTGAAACGTATATGTATGTGTAAAATGATTCGATCGTACATATATTCATTCTACTATTATTCGCAATATACATATTTCTTTATTAGAGATGATCGAGAATATGTTTTGTAGTGCAAAGATGATATAAAAATGGATATACAAGCTCAGTTACTTTATGAATAATTGCTATTATTGTTCCTATTATCGTTATTAGTATTGTTAACATTATTATTATTATTGCTATTAATACTACTATTAATTATTATAGCTATTAACCAGAATGCATGCTTATCTGTAAAGGTACATTTGTTTAATTTCTATGTTCTGATAAAATTCTTGAGCTCTGATCTGGTGTTTAACTAGTACTTATACTCCATAAAAATGATAAGATTGTTTGTGTCTTCAGGTGTTTGTTCATCAAGATTTTGAAACTTATATACATATATTAAATAATGTAATTTACATCCTCTCTTTTAGAGAATTTCTCTGGAGTTTTAGCGACAAATGTCCGAGAAATTTCAATTATGGCATATTCAACTGCTATTTACTCTACCAAACAATCTGTGAATCTGGCGTTCGTAGACTTTAATATAATGTTTGTCTTTACTAACGTACTCTCTATAGTGTCGAAGCAGTTACTTCTGTGTCCGAATTCGATGCTTCAGCTGGTATACTGTCAAGTCCTTTATTGAATCTTGCCTAGCGTTTCGATAGAGATCCTGACACGTTGAAGTTAATACTTGTTTGATCCCTCTCGAATTGTCCTCCATCGTAGTTTTTCTTCTTTCAGTAGATCCTTTTATGCTTAGAACCTGTTGTTGAGAGTTAACTTGAATTTGCTTGGCTTGTCAGTATGTCAAAAGAATGTGTGTTTTGAGCATTTATGATTCTGTTAGGCAGCTCTACCTTGCTTCATTTGCTGCAGTTTCACCTTGGCTATTACCACGTGTTGATTTGAGGCTGTCAGCTCTTCTCCTGATTCTTTTGCCGTCCATTGAGCTTGTGAAATTTTCACTGATAAAAATACGGGCAAGCTGGGTGGACAAAATGTGATCCGGAGA